GATTTTGCCGAAGAAAAATGGAACTTGCGATAAACGTACGTACTAGGTAGGTACTGTAAAATAAAAAATACGTAACTGCAGTGTGCAGCTTGAGTGCGTGTGTTCCGATGAATAAAACATACGTAATAAGACGTAACCACGTAGGTATATATAGGTAGGTACCTAGCTATACCGCTCAAACGTAAATGATAGAATGAAAACTTTGCAGTTCACCCCCCCCCCCCTCCCCCATTCGTCTCAGCGTGTTTTCCAAATAAAACGGAAAATACTATTATATAACGTAATATATTATTATCGTATCGACCTAGTTTTCTCTATTGTATTAAGTATACCTCGCGCATTCGATTCTCGCCATGTGATGATAGTACATCGCAAATATATATTATTATTATTATGCCGATTTGTTGAATCGCGTTGTTTAAACGCGTAATAAGTACCAGCTACTGCGCATAACGAGCGCGCATGTTTATAATATAAATCACTTGTTATTATTTTCCAGTAACAATATATTATTATATAGGTATACACGTGTACAATATTATTATCATCGAGGTAAGATGGCTCACATATTATATTATATACTGTATTGAATCGTATACGTATTATAAACCTATATATAAGGTAGAGGAGTCGAGAGATTAAAATTTCCTCCTACATAACATAGCAGTGTTACTGCAAATGCGCTCGCCGCTCTGAACATATTATATTATATTATGTAGTTAGGTATTCTTCGAGGTTTTACATAGATAGGTACACACGAGTTTTAAAGTATGATAAATTAATATTATTTCCGATTACGTCTGAACGGTATACAAGCATACCCATCTAAATAATGTACGACGGATGATTATGTAAATTATCCCACAGCCGTATACTGCAGCAATGTGCACGTCGAAAAATTTCAAAATTATCGTTACCCGCGCACACACGAGTTCTAATGAAATCTAACGACGTGTTAAATAATCACCACGCGTCACGTTACCGTCTTTGACCTAACCTAAGCTAACCCAACCGCTAATCGGGTATACCGCGGCCGTATAATAATAATTATGACGCGTTTTCTGACTACTCGAGCGACTGAAGCACGTTGACTGTCGTTGACTGTACAGAGACCATATAGACCTATAAACTGACTTGGTTTATAGGTCTACGATGGAAAAGAATGGCAGACAGGCGAATGATAATGTTTTTGTTTTTTTCTTTTGCTTCTAGTCGGTGTACCGAAATAATATTACGCTTATTTTCACTACACCTATAGGTGGTTTTTCCGCATCGATTTTTCAGTGTAGCCCGTCGTTGGATATTGCGGGTTAAAATTTTGCTGCTTTCAATTTCATTAAAATTGTGTGCCGTCCTATAAAGCGACAATTGTGCCCTACCGACGGGCCCGAGTGCACCTCAGCATTACGACTATACCTACTATAATTATGCGATACAAGAAAAACTGAATGTTAATATATTATTGTTACTGCAGTGTTTTACCTATACGCACATATAATATCTAATATAATATATTAATATATAATATTATATGTACGATATATGCGCATTGTGTGTAGCAGGTTTACCGTACATGAGCCATTATTCATGCGCTGTATAGGCGGCTCGGTTCAGGGGGAGAAACGCCATTTGTAACAGTCACAACAGGTTTCTAATTAATTAACGTTATACTAAATACCTACGCAGCGGTCGGTTTCTTTGCGGGATTTAGTTTTTTTTTTTTTTATCATTATTTTCAGTGATTATATCAATAAAATGCTACTCTTGCGGGTACGACTGAAAAATATGTACAGAGCGATTAATAACGTCGGCGTATGTTATCGTTTAAAATATTATGCGTTATTATTTCGGATGGGCCGGCCCCGCGTTGGTTTCGGGCGGTAATATAGCGTATAATACATTAATACAAGACACGTGTTGTTGCGTAGCAGATATCATGTTAGATGTGCCTATTACGTGTCGTAATATACCTAGGTATGGCCTATATAGATATTATAATAAAATTGAGTATGATATACTGAATGACGATACATTATATTTATATAAATGTGTACTTGCAGGTCGTCAAGGCTTAATCTCATAAAAAAACAAATAATAATAAACGATAAACAACAATTATTTAACATAATATAACTACTCAGTGGTTGGTTACACCGCTCTATATTTTTTGGAGCGATACAACAAGTGGCTTGGGTGTCGCTTCATTATGATTGTAGCGTTTATAAGCGAGAGCCATGCATTTTGCGTTGTAAGTAAATCGCAAATGTTGTCTTATATACTTCGACCGCGTTATACTTTCTACAAGCGTTCGCACTTTTTAGCTAGTAAAACGTTTTTATATTATCCTATTGACACTATATAGAATACCTAAATTAGATTCGTTTCTAAAAAGAAAAAACCAGTAGTGTAGTTAAATTTGCATAAAAGTTTAGCGATGATGGTACAGCGTACTTTTTAAAGTTTACTATGACTGAAATCAGAAATTGAATAATATGTACAGAGCGATCAACGGCGTAGGCGTATGACTGGTATCGTTTAAAATATTAATACAACAGACTAATGCGTTGACAGAGTGTTTTCAAGGTGGAGATCAGTTAATCTTGGACGATAATTATTCTTTAAAAACGTAATTTTTGAGAACGAAGTTTCACATAATATTATTATGTATGTGCAGGATCCAAAACACATCCAAACACAACATATAAAAATAGATCAAAATATATCTACAAATTGCGGAAAACCAGCATTGAAAAATGATATTCTTGCCAGTCCTGCAGTTATTTCTCCCCGGGTCGGATTTAGGCCACAGACCTCTGCTGTAGAGCACCTATATAATATTATAATATCACGCACGGGATTCGTGAGAATAATATTACGAAATCATTCATATGACATTATCGTACGATATACATTATTATTGTTAATTTAATCCAGCAGCGCATTATAATAATAATATGACGTATCGCGTGAGCCATCTTCGTACCCACCGCCATAATATAATATATAATTCATGATAAATAATAATAATATTATAGACAAGCGGCGGCCAAGTCCCTCGACCTACGCGGCGGTTGCCTATATATACAAAACCACAATATTATATATAATATATAGGACACAGGTTTATTATTATAATATACGACTTTATTATTATAATAATAAAATATATATTATATTTTAATATACCGAAGAAACGGCAATAGTAGTAGTCGTCGTCGTCGTTGAGACGGAAGCGGCGGTACATGTTTCCGTCAACGTGCGCGGTCGATCGCGTTTTATTTATTTGGTCTTTTCCTCTCTTTTAATTGAAAGACCACCACTGGGCTTGCGCGCTCCCTGCCGCTACACCGACTTGTACGTCCGACGACGGCCTTAAACGCACATATAACATAATATATATATGCAAGTAATAATATACTTTTATACCACGGGCGACCTACAGTATATCCTCTATATACATGACGTGTATGTGCGTGTGTGTACCTCGGTATACGTCTCTTGTACTGCCGCGGGTATAATATACGAATCGAACGAAGAGACAGTAAACGTCGTCGTCGTCGTCGTCGTCGTCGTCGTTTCTACCGCGGGTGTTTGTTTGCCGTTTTTTTTTTATCGTTATCAGATCGAAATGAAAAAGGACTGAAAAATAAAGTATATAATATGGAAAAAAAAATAAATAAACGAGAATAATGCACCCGCCGGCGTGGCGGAAGGCGGGGGCGGTTGTGTGTCGAAAACGAGAATAAAAGAAGAAATCATTAAAATAAAAAAAATATATATACAGAGAGAGAGAGAGAGCAAAATCATGCATATTTTATGGTTCATTGCAACGCTGTAGCGGCAGACCGTGAGCTGCTGTTGCCGCCGCCGCTGCTCCCGAGACTTGGACTGTTGTGGCGGCGGCGGCGGCGGTAAGTCATGGATGAGTCCCACGATTGGCTTGTTTCGATTGCGATTACATTAGAAAAGGAAAAAACAAAAAAACGTGACTCCGTTTTTGTCATAAAATACGATATATGCGTATGTATATAATGTCTCGTCGTCCTCCGCGATACTTGTGCGAGCATTGTTTTCTCTGTGCAGGCCGCGGCCCCCGTGTAATAGCTATCTCTCGCGCGTATGTGCGTACAATAATATTATGTACCTACCTACCTATATGATATACCTATACGCCTCTATGCGTCTATACTCTTTGCCCGGTCGACGGTACTAAACAATATAATATATACACGCACTCGTCTATATCTGCAGTACGTATGTGTGTGTGTAATAACAATATTATATATATACATATAGGTAAATGCATAACTCGCGGTCGTGGCCCGAAAGAGTTATTATATATGTTGGTCGGTATACGCGCAGCACACACTCGCGCGAGCCGGTCACAATGGCACTCGGGCGCGTTCCATACCGCAACAGCGGTAGCGGTTTATATATCATTATCGCCCGAGACTTGGCCTCCGAGCCGGTGCAGCGGCAGCGGCAGCAGCAGCCGTTAGATAACCTTTGGGTTGCGCGGGTTCGAGTTGGCGCGTTGATGTGTCAATAAGCTGTTAGAGAGCTCGCATGACTATCTTTTTTTGCTCTCTCTCGCCCTCCGTCTTCCGCCTCTATAATATTATTGTTAGACGCAGCCGTATTCCTTCTTCTTTTCGCACTCCTCCGCGAGGGTATTATAATATTATTGTTGTTATTATTACTATTATTGTTATCGTCGTTGCGCCGAGCGGAAAAGGTGTCGCGTGCACTCGCCTTATATTATTGTTCGCGCACGCTGATTTATAGCGAAGACGCCACGCCTATGTATATTACATTATATACTTGTTGAAGACAGTCGCCGTCACGACGTATGTATATAGTATATAATATAAGTATATTCGTCCATAGCCAGAGCCTATAGATCGGTATTGATATATATTTAGCGGCCTCTGCCGCTGCTGCAGATATCCGATGTATTATTACAGCGTGGACTTTCGCGGGAAACTACGCACTCGATTCGTATGCCGACACGACCGAAAGTCGAAAGCGAGAGTTGGATCATCGAGAGAGGACTTGGAGCGAAACTGCAATACTCGTCGTACTTCAATATGCAGCTTGTACACGAAATTCTGTATATACGTGCCGCGATGTGGGGTTTCGGGTTTTCGCCCGCCCCGAATGGTCCTTCAGATTTGGCACGAAGTCAAAGACACTTTCAAATATTGTGGCCTGAGCTGGGTCTACGTTTTCCGACCTTATCTATTCCTACACGACCGTGGTTAAGAGAGCATCACAGTTAACATTTTATATGTAGAAAATTCGGTAAACTGCAGATAAAGAGCAATGCGTGTGTACTGTATATTGTAGTTATAATAATATATGCTCAAGTGAAGGATGGACTTATATTGGGTGGGTTTCCACTACATACGTGCATATATTGACAGGATAAGTTCGCTATGAACGGTCTCACAAACGTTTCCCATCGGTTAATATGGGTTAGATCGGTTAAGATTGGTAACATGTTAGTTACCTCATCATATATTCTTTATGTTATCAATATATAGAGCCGTGTACACATGAAAAGTTGAACTGGATCCAACTTCATGGTATCATGGTTAAACTTGTGGTAAGAACGTATAACACTCTGGTTAGACTTTTGAGATTACCATGTATGCCAACCAATCACAGAAAAGTATTTTTATGCACGTACACGTATACGTATCTACTGAAAACCCACCTTTATGCTCGAAAATATGTGTCCAGCGGGTATGTGTTAAATTATCGTAGCGAAATGTTTAGTAGGTAGAGTGAAACTTTAGTTTACGGACCCTGCTTCATAATACAGGAGACACACTATCAACAACGTATACGCTTTTGAATTCCCTGACGGACAAGTGTTCGTGGGAAAATTCGCCTCCCAATAGTGGGGCTGAAATTCCCATACGGCGTCCGATGTGCAGAGGAGGTTTCACTGTAAAATATGGTTTCTACAGCAGCAGAATATTATTATTCTCAAAATTATTTTTTTTAATACTTTGATAGCAATTTATGTCCATCACTTAGTAATTTTATACTCTATGTCTATATAATATTTTCAGTGTACTTGTGTACATTATAATCAAAGTAATAGCACTCTTATAATAATTGTGTTCCGTAGTGATATTGGCAAAGTTATCAAGGTAAACATTAAATCTGATGTAATAAAACGAGAGAAACTTCGACTGAGAAATGTATGTCAATATAAATCGAGTTAAAACGAGTCAACTTTATATTATGCAGTATCGTTAAAATATAAAAGTTATACATAACCGTACGTTTTCTATAAACTCTAAACTCAAATTAAAATTACTACAAAATTAATAACGTCTTTTGCATATTAATAAAGAGATAACAAAATTATGCTGTAAAATCATAAATGCGATATTGTTTCGAGAACCGAAACAGCTATAGTTTAAGGAATGAGTAAAACGATGAGATTTTCCACACAGCATAATAGTAATAAAAAATGTGTGGTGACGCTTACATACATATTTACTACCTATTTAGCTTACCATTTAATATTATATAAATAATACACATTACCTACGAACAAAATAAATCACAGAAAGTTTGGTTACGATCACGTTATTTTAGTTAAGTTCAGTTTAAGGTCAGTTTTATGATTTTAAATACATACTTTACTTATATACTTATATCTACTTAATTTTTATATTTATGTTCAAAATAAATATAATGTGACTTATATCAATATATACAAATTTCGTATGGTTAAAACGATCTAAATAAAGTTGTTTGTAACATTTAATCGTGAAATTAGTATTTACACGTGAAAAAATCATAAATTACGTACACATTATAATTTATAACAATAATAATATAATAATATCATGTATACTGCTCGTATATTATTTTGTGGCAACATCAAATTCATAATAATAATGATAAAAACGGCGGCGATATTGTGGTTGGTTCGAAAATCCTAACGAGAATGCATTATTGTCGGAAAGCTCATAAAACACTGGGAAATTTAATAACCAAACGTATTATAATAATATCATATTCATATAATAATAATAATATGATGCTTTATATTACGAGTATACACTGTGGTCTCTACAAACCCGACCGCCCAGACTTATGACGTTGCAAGTGTATGTATGTCAGTGTAATATTATAATCTTTCGCGGTACACGGTATAACAGTCCGAAATGCGAATATTATTACGATTGCGAGTGTAGAACATAATAACGACGTATGTGTAACTGGATTATTAATCTGCAGCCCGTGCCGGTATGAAAAGTTTAGAGCCACTGTAATGACCCGCAGTCGGGGGTCGAATGAATGGAAAACTAGTGTTATATAACATTGCAGAGGTACACAAGTCTCCAGTCTGATTGCAGTTTGATTGTATTTCGATTCAAATGTTAAACGTTATAATATTATAACGCTCAAGTTTTAATGAGACGACGAACCTTTAAGATTGCGAAAGTACCTGTATATATTATTATTATGTACATAGGTACAACTACAGATTTCAACGAACGTTTCATGTTAACACGGTGTATCAGCTGAAGGATTTGACAGTTTAATAATAACGATCTAAATGAGCAATTTATGTAGTTGTGAAATCCTGCCGATACATCCTGCAGTATGTGTACGTCGTCGTCATGTAACTATACATAAGTGATTTCATAATATCCGAAAGAAAAAAAAATGTATATGTATAATGTTGTTACAATGATGTTATATCCTACCCAGCACCCTCTATATAGGTCATTCAGCTACCTATGTCGAGTTATAATAATATTATCACCGAAAGCCGCAGATATACCCTGGGAAAACGTCCTACACGCCTCGATGTCATGTTAATATTTATGACGACTGTGTAATAATAATATATCGAAGATGATGATTTACTGGTGTAATATAATATTATTATACTATCCTTGGCCTAAAGACTTGTATTAGACGAGGAGCATTGCGGTCGCCGCTCGTGAAATTTTAAATAATATTATAATATATGGATTCGATATTATATATAGATCGACGTTATTGTTATATATAGTGTAGAGTGCCTATATATATAATATAATAGGTATGTATTATATATATTTACAAACACGACTCGTGATGCCTGCAGATGTCTTTCGCGTTATACGAACGAACATTGCGTAGTAAATAATAATCATCAAACGCTCACTGTCCATACAATTTATATATACATACCTATAAATGATGTGATGGAACAATGCAAATAATATAACATATTATATTATACACATAATAATAATATAATACAATACAATATACCTAACCTGCAGCCTCTCGAACCGGCCGGGTCGGTGGAGATCGCTTTCGGAACGACGACGCTGCGATTCTCGGAAGACAATATATAATATAATATGGTACAAGTCCGTTTCACGATGTAAATAATAATCGTTTCGCGTCAGCTGACTCGGAGAAAATTGGTTTTCATCGCGGCGGCGCAAACTCAATTGTCGACTATTGGCGGTGGCGATATTACCACCGGCTCGAGTGTACTGCATCTCGTCCGATATGGCCGCGGCACGGACACTATAAATTAGCGGCGAGCTGAAGGCTTTCGAACCGATGTGTAATTGGAAAACGTAATTGGATGAGTCATCGCCGGCTGGCGGAAAAAATTTTGAATTTCAAACACACGCTCGTCCGTCGAATTTTGTTGTCAAGTCCGCAAACGCAGCTCTCGTGCACGCTATAACGTACCTGTACACACGCTCACAGCGGTGGCCGGTTATTTCTTTTTTCACTCCGGATCGCATTCGCAACACCCGGCAGTCGGAGAGTGAAAAACAGCCAACTTTAAGCATTGTCCCGCGCAGGAGAATTCAAGCAAGACAAATGCGATAACATTTCGTAAATCACCGTGTCATATATACGTATATAATAATAATATGATATAATGTATAGGTATACAGTGTACCTGTATAATGTATACAATGTCTGTCTGTTTGTATTGTTTGTATCGTGTGTATTGTGTTTCGTCCCGATTTTAGTGCTAATATCGTTAATGTCCGTTTTGAGAATCTTCATTGTCTCCCGTAACACGCTGGCCGTCGTATAGTCGACCAAAGCAATATTAGTATACAATAATATTGTCGTCCGAGGAATTTCGTTTGAAATTTAAATATCGAAATAGTATTGGATCGAATGTATTTCTGGTTTTTTTTGACCATCGGGTTCCGAATATAAGCGATTGCGATGTGTGAACAAACGAAAAAAAAACCAATATAAACTATTTCAATTTGAAAATTAATCGCGTTTTGAATTCTTTTAAACATACAGTAGATTCTCGTTATGTCGAATCTCAAGGGGAACAGAAAAAAGTTCGAGATACCGAAAACTTCGAGATATCGAGTTTTAAAAAATAAAAAAACTAATATAAATGTATGTTGTATAATTTATATGAATAATAAATAATACGAATGACTAAAATAGACTAAAATTTGAATAATTAAAATACTGAAATGACAATTCCTATGTTAACCGTAACAAAAATATTATTTGTGAACTCGAGATAACGAAAAACGATTAATTTTATATCGAGTTATCGAGAGCAAAACACTATTAGGTGTAATAATAGTTTCAAGGGGAATTCAAAGTAGTTCGAGATAACGAAAAATTCGAGATAGCGACGTTCGACATATTAAGAATCTACTGTATAATATGTTTCGGTGTTCGGTCGAAAACTCGAACCACGATGTACCAGCTAGGTATAGAATATACGATGATATTATAATGATATTATTCGGTGTGTGGTGTTAGACGTTATTATTTGATTTATCTGATTTGATCCTCTGATGATTTAAACTACTAATAGACCGACTATTGAATAACTACGACAAAAATATACATCGATAATAGCATACATATTATGCGAGTATAGTTTGTAAAATAAGTTTACAATGCAACTATTCAGTATTGTATACATATATAGGCACGTTGTTACGACAAAACGGTATAATACAATTATACGACTTTGAATGACGTGACGTGATTTTAGATAAATGATGTATAAATGACGTGGCAACTCGATATATTTTTGGACTGATAATTATAATAATAATACTGACCTTGATTGAAAGTTCTACACTGCGGTAGGACTCCTCGGTATCGAACGGTTTCGCCGTATTCCACGCGCTTATTTGCCTAATGACCCGGAGAATTATAATAATAATATGCTTTTTGGTTCACGTTCAAGAGAACGATAATAATAATAGCTAAATTAAGGAAGGAAGCTCTTGCGCAACATGCCCTTTTT